CAGGGGCCTGAGTACCCTGGGGATGACCGGTCTGGCTGTTTGTTCACAATGAAGAGCAGAAGACAACAGATAGTTTGACTGAAAAGGTCAAAGAAAACTGTAGAAGTGCAAGAAAACCTCTTCCTTCAGCTGTGAAGCTACCAAGAAAAAACACACAGATCTAAGACAGTGGGATCATTTACAGAGTCATTTCCTGAAAGAAAGAGAAAAAGGCTACCAAAGGGTACTCAAAGATCTTAAATGATATGGAAGAAGCCTGAGTGAAAAACCAATGCCACTGACATAAGTTTCTATCTTCCTTAATGAGATCTCTTCAGATAATGGCAAATTAATCCTATTTGGCTGGTAGTATAATTGCACTGTGCCATGATCTCAGATACTCTGTCTTGATAATCTAGAATATTTTCATTGACCACCTATATCATCAGCATTGGATGAAAAACACTAATAAAATAGTTCAAAGGTTCCAGCAGCTTGCTACAAAGTGCTAGTTACATGCATCACCGAGTGCATTAAGATTTCTGCACAGCACAAGTTACCATAGAAACCTTTAATCAAAGTAGTTTTCAGAAAGATCATTTACTGAAACCCAGAACTGCTGGATCTAGAACTGTCACAGTGCAGCATTCACTAAAATCTGGTTAAAAAATAATCTGACTTTTCCAAAAAAGGGAATCCAAGCCTGGTTTTCCAGCTTAAAATGTTTACTCTGTTCACACAACAGCAGTATAATTTTCTCCATTATCAATGAAGAGAGAAAAGGAAAAAAAAAAAAAAGGTGCAGATACACATATATCTCTTAAAACAAAACAAGGATTACCCTTCAATGTTTCCAGTAAGTTTTTGGCCACAAACCAACAGATGGCTTCAAAGAAAGGAAATTTGAAAAGATCTGGAGTTTTTAGCCTCTTCTCCATTTCGTAACACCTGAATAAATAGAAATATCACAAAACGTGAATATTTTAATTATCAAATTCACTATTCAACTATGTAATCATTCAAATTGACACAATGTCCAAAATAAAATAAAATAACCATGGCCATGATAAAGAAAAGAAGCCAAGTACCACATAGTTAAATCCCAACAAGACCACAGACAAGATTGAACTCTGGTCTCATCCAGGCTCTGACCTTATCAAGTTTGACTGCGGCACTTCTAAGAATAAAGTTGGACTTCATAAAACTAGGATACAAACCCAATGTGTGATCTTTTAACAGATGGAATTTTATCAGGATTCCACTGTAATAAATAAAAACAATATGTTTAGAAGACAGCTCCACATCTTGGACAAAAACTAAATACAGCTGCCCTTAGAGCAATGCTGACTTGAGGATGCTCATTTCAACTCAGTGTTGCACACCTGGGCTTGGCTCAGTTTTGTTTTACTCGCTTACACTAATCTCCAAAGTAGAGTTTTTCTTTCTTTTTTTTTTTTCCTTTTATTCACTTAAATTCTTGCATACCCTTCATTTTGCTTTTGAAACAAACTTTGCAGAAGTGAAATAAGAGTATGTGCTTGATACAGTCTAACTGAAAATGCCACACTATTGTCTGTTTGAGAGCCTGTACCGAGCTGATCCTGGTTAAGAGCATGAAGAAAAATATCTATTAAAAGAATATCCTACTTAATGAGGAAAAGGTATAGGACGAGCTGAGACTAACCTGAGCTGCATGCCAATATTGAGGTTGTGCAAAAAGTTTCCTCCAAAAGCCATACAATCCTGAGATGTGAGCACAGCGTGAATCCAGCCTGAAATGACAGATTCTGAAGGTTAATTCATACATATAAATTATTCTAAGACTGTTTTTAAATACATATATAAGTAAAAACACTGTACCCGGAAACAAAAAAGCAAACAAATTTGCATGCTGTGCCGGGAACAAGTAATTAAATTTTAACAACATGTAAACTGCAGTGTTTCAGAAATCTAGTGGAACTCTAGTTTTCTGAAGGAGTTAAGATTAAGACATTTTTTATGGGGGGCGGGGGTAATGCAAGACCACCAGTGATTTCTCAAGTAAAAATTCCCAAAAGTTTTCCCTCCAATCAACAAAAATAAGCAAGTCAGGAAAAACATACTGAACAAAAGATAAAGTGATAAAAATAAAACAGAAATTATATTACTTTAAATGTGTACATGTTGCTTGCAGTAACTGAGCTGTTTGTACAACATAAAGAAGTCATTTAGCAATACTGAAGTTTCTCAAATAAGAATTCAGAAGTAGTTCCATTAATTATTCTAAATTCCAGTGAAATTATTATCAGTTGAAAACCCAGTTTAGGCACTCTGACTATATAAATTTGTCACATAATTGAAATATTCTCCTTGTGAACTCCACTATTCAACACGGCAAAGCATGGCCAACATTATCCTATCAATCTGGCTGACTACTACTGGAAAATTTCAAGTACACAAAAGAACATATGATATTAGCTTCCCAATTAAAAACAGTAACCTTTAAAATTTATACAGTACAGCTGTAATGTAAATAAACTACAAATAGAGTTCTTCCTTCAAGATTTTTTTTCTGATTTTGCGTGCATACAGGTGATCTTTTGACAAAAGATGAGTTGGCCACACATTTGCAGATTATTTCATTGTTTGGCTGAGTGCAGGCAAGATGTACAAACACAGGAAGCTCCCCAACTTGAGACAAGATCAGACCAAATCAGAAGCAACTATATATTGCAAACTACCATTATATCAGTGCCCTAATTTAGTTAAGAACAACCAGTTCCATTTGTCGTGGTACCACACGTTAAAAGACGTGAAACCTAGCCATGAAGCTGACTAAGCAACATGCCTCCTATGTAGCCTGGGAAGGAAGTAAGTTACAGAATGGTATATGAGAGAATGTAGAATACAATGGTGCATGCAACCTAAGGGTTTTTTTTTTTTTAATTAATATTATACATTGTTCAGTTTTACTTCTGTTCTTTGAGAAGTGCAGTGCAATGAAGATTGCCTTGTATTACCAGTTGCATTTTGCATTTCTTAATATGGTTTCAATTTTTCCACTCTTATCATCATCATCACAGTAGATGAATACCTCTGACTCTCCAAGGAATACATGTATTTCAATCCTTTAAACACACATCTCCCCAGACACTGATAAAACTGACAAGAAAGCCTCCTCACTGTTGCATCAACATCAAGGATTTTTATGGCATACCTGTATCAACTAAAGGATTTTTTTTTTTTTTTTTACATTCCTACTTGCTATTTTTATGCTGTAGTTTTGATCAAGGTCTATGTAACAAGGCAAGAAAATTTGGTGTAGGCCACACAAAATATCTTGCATAATATTTAAATAATTCTCAAGAGCCTCCCAGTAGGTGCTATACATCTACATGCAAGATTAATTTTAAATCACACTGAACACATTTCAGAGATTATAAAATAATTATGACATCCGCTAGCATCAGTGCAAGCAGGAACAGCAAAAGAGGCTTTCAGTAGAGGTCAGGGTTTTTTTAAAGCCTTTAATCAGTCTTACAGAATTTCCCATTTTCTAAACACCTGCCTTGAAACCTAGTTTATTAGTTCTTACACTATACTCCATCATATGTGTATGAACATGTATGTGTGTATAAACACACACACGTGTATACACACATTTACATTAAGAAGTACCATTTTTTGTGTATATACACACACAAATATATGTACACATTAGAAATTATCATTTTATGACACTTTTTCTTTCTGGCCACATTATAGTGAGAGCTCAGATTTAGCTGATTACTTAGGAAGCAGTTAACTATTTTCAAAGATCCATGGGTCGCAATAGAGTTCTTCATTCTGGAATTCTGTATTCTTTGTTCACAGATGTATGACCTTACACTTAGATAAATGGAAAATTAATGTAATCTCTTGCCAAAAATATATCGTTTTAAAAAACTCTGGGTGTTCAGAAATGCTAAGTGCATATATAGCTCCTTACCATGTAGTATTTATTCTGCACAAGCCATGAACTAGAACAGTAAACAGTAAAGCTTGCAGGTAGAGAACTGAGCTATGAGAAAAATGTAGTAGTCTAGGAAGTGTTCAAAAAACGTGTAGATGTGGCACTTTGGGACATGGTTTAGTCTAGTCTACCCTTGATTGGCTTAAGAGTAGGCTTGGTAGTGTAGGTTAATGGTTGGACTGGATGATCTTAAAGGTCTTTTCCAACCTAAACAATTCTATGATTCTAGGAAGTCCATGACAGAATAAGGGTACTGAACAAAACCCTCAAGACTTATTCCAGAAGTAGAATCGTGCAACATTTTCCTTCTTCGTGTATTTAAAGCTTCCTCCCCCGCAAAAAGAAGATAGTGCCCAGTACAAATCTTTAATAATAAAGCAACAAGAAGTATTTATATGGATGGGCTGGATAAGTGAAAATACAAGAAATTAACTGGCACTCGCTTTATTGGCAAAATATGGTTTGATTTATTACAGACTTCTAAGTTTACGGTATTTGGGAGTTTGGGGGGGGTATGTGTTTTGTTTGGAGGATTTTTCTGTGTTTTTTTAAATAGATAAATAAGTTTAATTGCTTGGTGTTTCTTGTTTCTTAAAAATGTCCTGCAATTTATCAGATGTTATTATGTGACAGCTACAAAAAATGTTGTTAAGGAAAATCAGAAAAAGACCATGTCTCTATCATTTTTAAAGGAAGCCGCTGAAATTAATTTTTGAACTCTAGTTTCATAAACTATATCTACAAATATACTTTTATTTTTAATAAAAGGAGTGAACACATAAATTCAATTATATATTCTTCAGTTTTATTTAGGGACACTTTCATTTTGATTCAGAGAGTCTCCACAGGCTCAACCACAGTTTAGATTTTCTGCTGACAGAAAACAAAAAATTAAAAAAACCCACAAACAAAAAACTTTTATTTTTAATCCTCTAGCCTACAGCATAAGAAGTCTGTGTGATGTTTTTGTAATAATTTTGCCTAGTAGGTCTTACAATATTCAAAAGCTGTAAAAACAAAATTGTTTTATAAAATTAAGATAAGAACTCAGTCTGGATAGCTACCAAATGGTGAACAATGTGTGTTCTATGAATTGGAACTATTTCCCTGATATCCAAATTAAGCTTTAATTTGTTGTCTTATACTTGGGTAACAAACACCCTTTCTTTCCCTGACAAGCGTTATTACTGTCAGGCAATCTAAAAAGCTAATTACTTGTTTTGAAAATCAAAATTTCTGAATTTTTTATTATTCTCTTATCCAAAATTTTAGGAGAGACCAAATGTTGATAACACAACCCTGGGTGATTATACATCCTAAGTCCTAGTATTAAGGGTAAAATCTTACCTGTTGGAACAAATAAAGTGTGTCCTTGCTTCACAACACATTTGTAACATTTGTCAACCTTGTCCCCAAAATATACTTCACTCTGGGTGACAGATGAACTCCAAGACTCATACAGAGCCAAATTTTCATCAGTGGGCTTGATCAAATAGAATATCTTCTCACCCTATTAAACAAAAATATCAAATAAATAAATGAATGTCCTCCTAGAGGCATACTACAACCTCTGAGTCATTCCTAATAAAGTAACAGATTGATCTAAATGGTAAGTATTCCACATTTCCACTATGGAATGCTGGGACTTCCTCGCCCCAGTGTTTCACAACTGTAGTCCATCAAAAACTTAGTCAATAGTATGCTAACCAGTTGGTGTCTTGTGATGTAAAAGAAACAAAGAAACCAACCAAAACTTTTCATTGGAGTATTAAAAAAATCCAGCTTTTATAAACAATTTACGGATATGTGCACACATGCCAAATGAGAAAACATAAGATGGAACCACTTTCGCTCTTCTATGATGTATACATGATGAAAGTTTGCAAGAATAAAAAGTTCAGTATGTCAATGGTTCTCATTCAAGTCGTTTTTTCATACTAAAACCTCACTATATCACCTACCAGTGTACTAAAATGATCAGTCAACCAATTATAGTCTAGAAGTCACCAAGAGCATGCTAAAATAAAAGCATAAAAATGCAACACCAACAATCAGTCATTCACTTTCATGCTCCTCCCCTGGCTTTTTAAGCACAAAATTTCATACAGGTGATAATTCTAAACAGGTGATAATGCCATGGCAAAAAGCTGCACACTGAATAAATTTCATTTCGCACAGTCGTAAATCAAGAAGCCTTCATACCCAGAGAACATGGTACCAAACTGATGTTCCTCCAAAATCGATATGAAAATCAGTATAGCTGTCCTGGACACCCATCAAGCAATACTTCTGAACAAAAGGCTTAGGGAAGACAGAATCATCTGGCCAATAATTTTCCACCCATGAAAGCTTTCTGGCAATATCTGGTACTTCCACTAATTCAGACATCCTTTTAAAACAAACAAAAAAGAACCATAAATATAATCAAGAGTAAGCATACCTCTTTTTAAATGACAGATTTAATTTTTTGTTTCCTACAAAGTTATTACTTATGAATTAATAAAAATGTTTTAGACCCGCATTACATCACAGTAGCTGTCTACATAAAATACGCAGCCTCTTATCTTTCCCACTTACAGACATTATATTCCTACACATACTGTTCAACTTAGTGAAAACCACTTCCTGCGTTCAAGGAACTGAAGTCAATACTCACTTCGTGTCCGAGAATTCCAGGCTGATCACATTCAACACTTTTGGTCGGTCAGGATTTGTGAAATATTTAATATAATTATGGAGCTTCATTTTACTGTCTGCTTGTCTTGCTACATCTATTACATCTATCACTTTGTCGCCACCTGTGAAAAATAGGATGACTTTCTTAAACCTATCACAGATAAAAACCAGCCAATTAAGGTGTTTAAGAGAAACTTAACTTTTTGTAGCCTTTATCAAAACATTTCTGCACAAAAACTCCATCACTACCAGCATTCTCTTGGAACAGAGACAGATCAGTATAAACCAACTTTTTATTAGGTCTAACTTTAATTGCTATAATCAGTTAAGGACAGAACTGAAAACACTCTAAAAATAAATCCCCTTTCCTGTGGTTAACCAAAAAGAAAGAGAGCAGTATAGAATGACTGCAACCAGTTTTACAAAAAAAAAACAAACAAAAACCTGGGTTTGTGGCTGCAATTGGAAAGACTAGGACAGCGAAAGTTATCAAGGCACATCTAATTCCTCACTCTTCCTATTAATCATCACCACAGCACTTGAATATTTAACACAAGGACCACTGAGAATTCTTTACAAATAAGAAATCCTACTGCTCACAGCTTGTAATTTTTAGGAAACTGCACGTTTAGTGCAAGTTTATTGTGCCATCATTGGTAAGTTTTTAACATTAAAAACTATGAAGGTACTCCTTTGCAAACATTCTACAAGCTCACCCCCACCCTCCTTATATACATGCATAACTTTTAAGCACACAGTAATTTCATTGAATAATGAAGTCATGAGCGTGTTTCATTTCTCAAGACAAGGATTGGTTTACACATCGCATATTTTAAAGTGATATATCTGTAGAGCTAGACAAGCAAGAAGCAACCTTAAGCCAAGAGAAAGGGCTGACAACAGCATTATATCAGCAATTGTTTTATGTCCATTTAGTTATACAACAGCCAAGTTTGACAATTAATTTTGGAATGCTGGAATGTATCTAGATGTACATTATAAACGTAATTCTTTTAAATCGCAAGTTAGTATCACCTTGATAAATTCCAGCTGGAATACTGTTTATTCAGTTTTCTTATTTTTAATTCCAATAATAGAAAGGTAAATCTGTGGCATTCCAATTTTTTCCCTAAACTGGGGAACCTGGCAGGTCAAAATATGCGTATGAGAATGAGAAGACCAAGTTTCTCTCTGAATCTGAAGAGGCAGTATTCCAAAAGAAAGGATTCAGAAGTATCAAAACGATAATTACACTTTAAAGCAGAACATATTACTGTTTATAATCATCATAATGGTAACAACATTCCATATACTACGTATTTCCTCCATTGTAAAATGCTGATGGACAGAAAATCTGCTTTCAGCACACTTCATTATATTAGGTTATCACAAGAACACAGACAAGGACATATACAGACTTCTCAACTGCACTATATGTTACAGGAAATCTCATGCTGCAGTTGGCTCAGTCTCTATTTCTCTGTACTGCACCCTTACATGCGATTTTTCAATCAGTCAAACAGAGTGTCGTGAGATCTAATAAGAAAGAAATGGTCCTCAGGAAGCTCTAGCTCCCCCGCCAAAGGGAGCCAAGGTAGGAAATTTTCCAGGAAGAAAGATTTAATTCAGAAATGCCAATTTACCGAGCCCAAAACATTAAGTTTTGCAATATCCTAACCAATGATTAAACTTTATTAATCATAAGAGTGAGTCATTCAATTCTCACAAAGAGAACAATCTTAAAAGTCAGTATACTTTATTGGTTTACATGTAGCAGAAAAAACCCCAGCATTCCATGTTTAGCTTGCACCAAAATTAACATGTTTGAAAGATGAAAAGTAAAGCTGTACTCCTATCACATATCTACCACACACACACAAAAAAAAAAGGAAAAAAACCCAACACAGCTTTACTTTTACTCTCTGCTAGTCTTCTGGTTAGAAGTAATACAATTTAGAATATATGTTTAGCACCCTGGAAGCTCTTGCAATCATGCAAATGTTTATTTTAATTTACAGATGGGATCATTTGTAAGTACTCCAAAGTGACTCTTACCTACATAACGTTCCACATCTAAAACAGAGAAAGTTGGCGGAGGAAGTCTGAGCCCCAGACCATCTAATTTAGGAACCATAATGGGAACATCAAACCCATGTTTCTCCAAGTATCTTTGTGTCAACTGGCTTCCATGCATTTTCAAAATGACTTCATCAGCACTGGTGGAAGAAATAATGGAATATCAGCAGAAAAGCATCCTCCAAGCACTACTGAAAAAAAAATTATGTCACAGTTCGGGGGAGGACAGATGGGAATGGCTACATTTGAATCCAAAAGAAGTGGGCCCAGTACTATTACATTAAGCACTTAACTAAAAGACAAAGAAAACTACCTAAATGAGCAAGGAAACATTTACTGTCATGCATAACCTGGGAACTCACAGTCTTTCTATATGGCTGAACGCAGTAATTTAAGAGGCTCAGGAAAAGGAATTCTCAGAGAAGGCGTTAAAGTACATTTTGGTAACAACAACAAACTCAAAGAATTGTAAGTCTTTGTGTTTCAGTGAGACAGCCAATCACAGACAGCTCAGGATGAAAGTAGGACCACATTTCTCCACTTTCCTCTAAAGCATGTGAGAATGGATACCAGCTCATATAAATGTTCTGTTATTTGGAATGAAACTGAGGACTGTTCCTCGGCTAGAGGAGTAGACAGACAATATTCTGACAGTTCAGGCACAAAAAAGAAAACCAAAAACCAACCACTCTTGCTACTTCCCCCACAAAAACAAACCAACCCACAAAAACTCAAACCCCTCATATCACCCTGCAGCAGTCCCAACAGACAACATACCCCAGTGCAAAACTGAACAGGGCAAGCTAATGCATGAAAAGGCAAATGTATCCATCTGAAACAGGGATGGGGGGATTCTAAAGGAGAAGGAAGTCATCCTCGACCTTCATTTTCTGAAGCAGAGAAATATTAGTCGCCTGCTCTAAGATACACTCAGCTGACAACACTTCTCTATTTTTTTCGCTGAAATGTGTAAGTAAGCTCCTGTACCTTGGGAAAGAGCGAGCCCGCAGCTGTTTAACGAAGGTCCGTGTTCCAGCCTGCACCGGTTTGGAACCATCATCCAACTCTGTGTAGTCATGTCTGTGCCAGTTCCTCCTCTTCTTCACTGTAGGTTTCAAAAGGATTAAGCTTTGAATTAGTTAAATCAGATGGCTGAGATTAGCAGTCATCCCATCAGTGAGCCAGACATGCCTCAGTCACATTATTATGACTAACAAACCTTACTGTTTATGCAGGTGACACTCTATCTATCTGCAACAAATGAAATCTTCAGAACACCTGACAGCCATCCTCTATACTTCTCTAGCTCTTTCTGTGTGAGAACCTCAGTGCACATTACACACGATTTAAGACTTCATATCCAGTGCAGCACAAGTAAACAGCAGCAGCCTGAAAGTTGTCCAAATCTAAAAAGTCAGCAACAAAACTAGAAATAGGACTTTAATTCCCTAAAGCTCAGACTTTTTTTTAAACAAACAGAAGAATCATACTTCTTCAAGATCTGTAGACTTCATTTTATGTATTAACACAGAATTAACAGGACCTAATCCCATTGTGCTATGAGCATATGAGCATACCCATATCCAGTCTGATAATATTGCTACTATTCACTACCATATGCTGTTCAAAACCAAACCACCTTTCTTTTATCCACTGCTTATGTCTCCATAAGCCCCAGTTTTGGGCATAAACTGGTTTGGGCAGCTGAGATCTTTACTATGCAAGCACAATACATACAATGCAAGCATTGCACCCCAAAAAAATCAACTTCTGAGTTGTTTGGAACTTTAAGGCATATTACAACATATTAATAAAGGACAAATGATAAAATAATGTTCTATTACAATTTTGGGAATCTGAAACTGATAGTTCAATAGCAGCTAAATTGCATTTTTACAGCTCCCTGTACGTAAAGGGCTGAGGAAAATGAAAAACCAGACATACTCATAAAAATTGCTGTGTTGGTCTCCCCATGACAAATACACAAATGAGAAGAAAAAAAAAAACCCCACAACTATTTTCATAGAATCATAGAATGGTTTGGGTTCGAAAGGACCTTTAAAGATTACCTAGTCCAACCCCCCTGCCACGGGCAGGGACATCTTTCACTAGACCTGGTTGCTAAACCCCCCACTCCAACCTGGCCTTGAACACTTCCAGGGATGGGGTATCCACAACTTCTCTGGGCAACCTGTTCCAGTGTCTTCACCACCCTCATGAGTGAAGAATTTCTTCCTTATATCCAATCTAAATCTACCCTCTTTCAGTTTAAAACCATTATCTCTTGTCCTGTCCCTATAGGCCTTGGTAAAAAGTTGTCTTCTTTCTTATAAACCCGCTTTATATATTGAAAAGCTGTACTTTAGAACACTGTAAGCTGTATGCAGCCTCCCCATTTGAATTTTTTGGCCTTAAGTGAAGCAGAGGACAAAGTAACTTATGATTATCATGGTGAACTTACTGCCTGTCTTCAAATTTTCATTATCTCATGACAAATTATTTCATAATGGGTATTTCCATTAATTCATCTTAATCAACCACTCATTTTGTGTCTTCATTTATAAAGAATACAAGCTCACTGCTTTGAAAGGAAGCCCTTGTTTGTATCATCTATCTGTTTGCACTTTGGAGTACTTTCTGTGTATAAAATAAACCTGTATCTCTTGTCCTCAAACATTCAACAGGCTGAGAAGCCCTATTAAATTCCCAACAGGTGCCTCAGCAAAAAAGGACCACCATCTCATCATCTGGCAAAGAAACCCCAACAGTGCTGAACTTGCTACCTTTCTATTGACTTAACAGTGTATCATTTGCCACACTAAGAAACATACTAAGGGTACAGTAATTTTTAGGTTGCGTTTCAGTTTTTCCTAAAAAAGCCAAACTCTGCTCCACAGCATTAGATACTTGCTACTAGAAGACTGCCCCAAGAAGATTTACTGAGACCAGATCTATAATTTAACTAATATTAAACAGAAATTTAGTTACATCTGCTGAGGAAACACAGAAGAGGGGAAAGTTACTGTTACTTGTCAATAAAAACGGTGTTTTACAGGCATATACAAAGCAGCCTGCAATGCAAATAAACACCCAGCTAAACAACTGTATTAATACAAATTTGAACTTTATCCAAGAGCTCATCCTTAAGTTTACCAAAGTCATGATGCACCCAAAATCTAAAAAAAGTGCTAGCAATACTGAAAACACAGCTAACATTAACAGGAAGCTAGGGATTTGAGAAGAAAAAAAAATGTAGCTTCTAAAAAGAAAAAAAAATGCTGCTTCTCCAGAAAAAAACAGTTGGTTATATAGGAATAACTGACATCTTATAGTCATTACACATAAGAGGTAATGATTCCTATTGATAAGCTGTTTCCCACAGTGTGACAAAATGTACCCTTTAGAAGATGTTTAAGAGAATAAACTGACATTTATAGCTATTTGCTAACCTGAGAATCAGTGCTGAAGCACCTGCTTAATGAGCCAACTACCCAAATACAGTAAAACTTCATAAATAATGAAGCTAGGTTTATGAAGTTTTCAAAGCTATTTTCTCCGTCATAAACAATAATACAAGAAATTAGTGGCTAATACTTATTTGCAACAGAGTAGTTTCTCATAAATTCACTGCTGTTTTAACAGCTCATTAAAATTCTAAGATGATACAGCTGCTTCGGAGATTTTATAGCATGAAACAAACTTTTAAAAATCTGTCTTTCCAACACTTAAAAACTAGAAATTAAAGTTGTTCTTTTGCTTTACTTAGTACTTGGCAATGTACATCATCCTTCCGTAAGTAAGAGAACACTGAAGAACAGAAAACAGTAATGAAAACTTTTTCCGCTTACATATCTCTTAATTCTAGAGCTTTTATAACCCCTTAAGACATTACAGTAACAGTTGCAAGAAAAGTAATTTACCTGAATGGATCCTCATGCTCGAATTAAAACCAAAAAACCAAATAACTATGTAAGTTGAAATGCACATATAACACCACCCCCTCCCAATCACTCCAAACTAGTGAAGGAACTACTGTTCAGCCTTGCTGTTCCTGAAAACTGAGGCACAACCCACTGTGACAATACTAAAAATACACACACCAAAAGCACACTAGACAGTTGCAGGGGGCTTGAGGAAGGAAAGGAGTGCGCTGGAAGTTTTCATGAAAAGTAAGCAGAAAGCTATTTTTAAATTACATGCCTTTTACACTGAAAACAGTGGGCCAGTAACTGTACCTACTTTAGGCAAACGCTATGCCTTGCCTTCTCACACTACTGGTCTGTTTGTCTCAGAGGTCACATGCTAGACTTTAAATGGGGACCACCAAGAGGTATACATCCGTACAATGAGGCCTCAAGTCTTGGAAGCGGTCCTTTAGGTGATTCCCAGTGACCAAAAAGGCAAGAGAAATGTTAGCATAGGAAGGCTGAAACATTTTGAGGAGCATACAGTAAATCATAGAATACCACTTCTGAGGCCTGGTACATCATCTCATAATTGTCAGCTCAGATCAAACACTGGCATTACTACCACAGTCAAAAAAACCCAGGTGGGATGGTATTTACAGAATTTGAGATAGTAAAACCAGATTTAAAAAGTAATGTCCTGACAACCACAGTCCTGTTAATATTTACTGTACCTCATGCTCTCTTAAAGATCCGGATTCTAGAGTCTAGTGACAGACCTGACTCCCATCATTCACACAAACAGAGCATTTTCAGACTTAAGGATCACTGAGAAAACTTAGAAAATAACAAAATATAATATGAAGACTCTAAACCAAGTAAGCTAAGAAAAATCTGTAGTGTATCACTATTTTTTTTTAATCACTCTTTTTTTTAATTATTTAGGATTTTAGGATTAACTATTTAGCATTTTACACACACGGCTGCTTACTAAAGGTGTTGTAAAATTGTTGCTCTTCCATATCAAGAAGAGGATTTACCTTTGTTTGAAATACAAGAAGAAATTGTTCGGTTCTCCTGTATTAATTTGATCTTTACATCTAACCATGCAGTAGCCTTCTTTTCATTATTGGAATTTTTACATAAATAATTTTGTAGGATACTGAAAGTAACCATCCATTTGATAGTATGAAGTATGTGTTTCTTGTATATTTTTAGTAAACTTTTTGCACTATGTCATTTGATTAGATGAGATTAAATACACAAGTGTCTGCTGAAATCACAGATATACTTGCCCTCTTAAACAGCTGAATTTTTGTCTTTTTCAAAACTCCTTTAGACAAAGGGATTTTAGAATATGAAGCTGGAAATAAAAATGCTTTTTTAACTTACATACATATTTCGTATGACTGAAGCACTCTAGAGCACTGCTGCAACACTTGAAGTCATGAGACATTATCAGTCTCACTAAACACTAAAGTAAGTAGAGCCCAAACTACAAACTATCATAGATTTGATTGTGACAGCTTAGCTGAGAGCAATTAATACAATCCCAGGTGAAGACATATTTCAACATATCACCTCTGCTTAGGTTGGTAAGTGACACGTCTGAAGCTTATACTAAATCTAGATGATCTACTTACTTGAGGCAATATGAAGTAATGAGGGTAATTTTTTACCACAGATTCTTGTCTTTTTGAAAAGACTTCCAACACAAAAATCACTCATCTCACTGTCAAATTGCTGCAGGTGAGACAGTGCTCACATTACAGCTAGAAGCCTCTGCATTACAAAAAACATTATTCACAGGCATCATGGTAAAGCATCCTAGTTCTCCCAAATCAAGAAGAGAAAAGAAGTTTCAAATTTACTAGTTTATTATTTTGAAAGTCTGATATGATCCCCCTTCTACTCCTCCTGCTAGTCCCACTGTTCCACAGAAAAAACAGGCAGAAAGGTGAGGAAAGAAATGGCTGTTATTTGTATTCTGCTTTACAGGAGACATGCAGATTTTTAACTGAAAATGACAACTGGAATACTAAAAAATACAAGCATGTAAAACAGCATTTATCTTACCTTTTAGCCCCCAACCTAGAAGTAGCTAACCCTGAACTCACATACTGTACAAGATACATATCATGTAACATACATTAATTACATCAGTAAGTGATGATTTATCACTTTGTTCATACTCCAGAAGACTACCAGTGAGGGTGCAGTGGTTTTAAACTTATTTCTACATGGTAAAGTAAATTCAGCTTTGAAAGGATTCTAGATCTTAAGTCACTGCTGACTGTAAATCATTATGTGGTCTTCAAGTGAAAAAAAAAACCACATTAGGAAACACAAATGACCATGACTTAGTGCTTGGAGGTTAAAGACACACAGTGCATATATACATTTTTCATGGCTGAAACTTAATTCATTGTTGGAAAGGTGAAATTCATTTTTACATTGTTTCCTTTTGAGAACAGAAGTCATGGGGAAAAATCTAGCGAGCTGGATAAAGCAGTATCCTTTCAGTAGCTACAGAAAGACAAAAACTGTTTTCTTCAGAATTGCAGCGTTACCATCTTTCCACTGCAGATCTCTACAGCAAATTTATCTACTGAAAGGAGAACCAAAGAAGAGGTCTCTCTTGCTGCTCTGTTTCATAGTCTCTTTTGTGAACTCATAAAATTGCATGAGGAACTTGGTGGAAACTTGTTGATAAATCAGAAACCTGAAATTCAAAGCTGTGTAACTCTCAAGGACATAAATAGGAAAAAAACCCAAAACAAAACCCACAGGAAGTTCATATTCTCAGATTTCACTGGACTGTTGTGGCATATAGCCTACAATCATCAAGAAAGGTAAGACAGCTAAATCCTACGTTTTCACAAAGTTGCCTTCCTAGATATTAGAATTTTGATGATTAAAATACAGGAACCTTAAGCCATCTTTTGGATTTTCCTTTTTTTTTTTAAACCATTGATACCCTAATTTTCATTCTCTCACTCTGTCAAGTCCAGATTGTTTCCTTCTAGCTCTGTGCACTTTGATTTCTCTAATCTATAGATACAGTTTTTATTTTATTCTATCTGCATCTCCAGATCAAGGAACCTTTCAGGATGGTTTGGTTTGTAGTTTTTTTATCAGCTCAGAGTTAGTCATGTACAACCAGTACCTTCTAAATAATCAAACTCATCTTGGATGTTCTTCTGAACAGTCTTTTTCAATTGTACATGGAGAGAAAACAGACTGGAAGTGTAAAATAAAATTTTAATAGCCCATACTTACTTAGAGAAGGCCCATGGAGAATTGCACAGTTGGGACAATGGTATAGATCAATGTCAACAGCATGGTGCTCCTCTACCCCAACACAGCTGGAATAATATTTTTAAAATGTTAATAATACATGCAAGATTTATTTTTTCAAGCTAAAAAATAATTAAATCTTAAGTCTCTACCAGAACATGCTTAGTCTACAAAATCATAATGAGATACCAAATTATCTCAACTACTGGGTTGCCACATAAATTTTGAGTAATAATTTATCACTGAACAAAGAATGTCATTTAAAAAAAAAAAAATCATAAAAGGGAAGGAAGAATGAAATTTCTCTAAAAATGAGTCCACAATATATACCATTACCCCTCATCCCCCCAAAAAGCTTTGATCCTAATTACAGGAAACAGTTTACGCAAAATCATTCAAGCAATTTTCCGTATAAAAGTTATTATTTCAAAAAAATTCTGAAGTCTATGTGCTGTCAATTTATAGGAGATATCATGCATTTTTTCTTGTTTTTTTCTTTTCTTTTTTTCCTGCAAAAAGCACATAACTGACTCTTACCCCCCAAGATAAATCAATAAAGAATACTTTCATATTCTTCCCAAAATGTTTACACTACTGGTACTAGCTATGCAAGTTACACAAGTGACCATACAAATCATTTTGTAGAAGTGTCACAACTGTTATAAAGATCTTCAATTTTAATTCCACTTTGACTGTTTTATCTGGGAAAAAGTGTGCACCAGGAAAACATTACATCTCTCAAGTACTCTTTGAAATACTTGTTGCTATTTTAAAACAAAAATAGAAGAAACCACACAGCAAGAAAGGAAATAGATGCAGTGATCTGCTAACATAAAGTGCTCCAGCCATCAGTGCTGATGATCTAACTTCCAGCCGTATCTCAAGATTTCATGACAAAACATCTACACTGCTGTATATCAGTACACAATTTTAAAGCCAAAATGAAGTACATTCTCTTAGAAGTTGAAACACTAGAGGTTAATTGGAGAAGATGTGCTTTTGCACAAAGTTCTCAAGAAAAAAAAAGAGTAATCCCTACTTGCTCTAGGCAATCCTGGCAGAGTTATTTCTCTCAAAAGTTCACTGACACTTATAAAATTGCTGACGTTATAATACAGAAGCAAGATTACAAACACAGAACATTTACACCAAACAAAAGTTACACCATTTGGTATATTTATATTTGGTACTTATATTCAATGCATTCTAGTAACATGAGAACCTGAACACTACTCCATTCAGGTAATCCGTTTCATATCAAAAGTGTAATGACAGCTTAAACACTGAAGCTTTGAAATGACCCAGCTACAAGAAGTCTTTTCCCTAGCAGCCTAGTGCCAAAACTGCTGACACGCTCCAGTAAGTGTCAGTACATGCTGCCAAAACAATAAACTAAAGAGTCTAGCATTCAAAGTGCACCAGCGAGCAAATAAAATCTGTAACTGAAGAGCATCTCCCATGTAACTATCAATTGAGAAGTACATAATTCTGCATTCTCTGTAAACAGATTCAGCTGGTTCTTCTACTTCTCCATTCGCTACATACCACATGAAATTTAGAAATTATATAGCTTTTTTATATACATACTATTTTAAAATCTAAATACAAAACTCAGCTGCCACAGTTCATCACAGTTCTTGCAATATTTAGTATCTGTTTTAAGACGCAACTACAGGAACTGTTATTACATGAAAATTCAGCTGACATATAAACAAAAAGGAAGGCAGAAGCACTCTTTAAAAATGCATGTCCCATTTCCTTCTGCTTGTGTTCTCTCTCTTTTTATAGAATAGATGAGTGACTCGTAATCCTATGTATTATAAGAAAACTGTTTTAAAATGTACACTCTAAAAGCCCCAAATGAGAAGGCTGGTTTTATACATCCTTAGGAATACCATTATTTTAGCTAAATTTCTGGTTTTTGAACAGCTAAAGATATTTTTGTTGGACTGTATCTTGATCACGTTTGCACATATATTCAATGAAACACAGTGCTCCATGGGAAAACTTCACTTATGTCCTTTCCTTTTTCTTGATCATTATCTGATACATTCATCATCACCCCAATCAGATTATCTTGCTCACTAACAGTAAGAACTTTGCATCAAAATATAGTAAAAATACCTTCAAACTTTGACAATTGTTTGTCATACTCTGTTTAAGATTGTTAATTTTATTGCCTCTTACAGAATGTTACGGATAGCCTGACAATAAAGCAGGAATTCTGTCAAGTACTAAACATTTTCTCTGACTTGATTAATTCCATAACCTTTCACGAAGGCACATGGAGCTTTGTGTACAGAGACAGCAGGTGACACTGGAATGGTATGAGAATAGCTGGAATAGCCATTCAATAAAGAAAGCGAACATTTTTGGTCTACTCTTTTATGCTCTAAACTCAGAACTAACTGGAAAGGCAAAACACTAACTGGGAGATACTGGAAGTGAACCTAGTAGCAGATACCTGACGGATGCAAAGGGCAAATGAGGTGCCAGCACCTGCAAGAACAAGCATTGCCAAGGACGCCACAGAGCGTATCAATCATATACATCACCATTACAAGCCACTTTCCTGAGTCCCTTTCTCCAGCGTACACAGACACACATGACATTAATCATTCTGGCTACTAGCAAGCAATCAATTACTGTGGTAAGTGCAACTTCAGACCTCAAGCATCAAAGCAAGGTCACCAAGAGGTAGCAGAGAGCCTGGAAAGCATTAACATACTCAAACACAGCAACACTCCCAATTCACTGATGTTTTCCTGAATGAAATATCATTACTATCCTTCACCTCACCATCCATTTGGGTTGAAATGTGTTCAGTATGTATTACCTAGTTTCTGAATTGCTCATCTCCTGCAGGGAGGCTGTAGACTAATCCTCAGGAATGGTGAAAAGTTTACAGTATTACAAAATAGAAAATAAAATATAATAACAAAAAACCCGACTGAGGAGACTATGTAAAAATACATCTCTAATTCTGTTCATGAAGGTGGAAGGCCTGAACAGACCCAATTTTACTTGAAACGGTTCTAGAAGCAGTAGCAGGGTAGAAAAATTTAGTTGAAAATAGACTCCATGATATCAGTCTCTGAGTGGTCAGACTTTCCTAACTTCCCCAAGGTGTGTAGTATCAAGGCAAGGTCAGCAAGAGGTAGTAGAAGAATCAGGGAAGTGCTAAGTTTTTTTCACATGAAAGAACACGCCCATCCCTGGCAACTGAAGAACTACCTTGCTACTCAAAGTTCAAGGAACCAATTTTCCAGACTTAAGTCTCACTAGAAGGTGAATGTTTTTGATTTAGCTTCAACTTTCCATTTGATTATTATATTTGTGGCTATGTAAAAGGAACAAGTGTAAATCAAAAACAATCAGAAGAGGACTGTCTAACATATCTGATAGATACCAATGGACCTCTGCTTTTCTGTAAAGGGAAAACAAGGCTTCTTTCACAGGGGAAAAAAAAATCCTGCAGAGGTTGTTCTCTACTGCAGTATTGCTATTAATTTACAATTTAAGAGATGAGTACAGATAATTCGGTATGACAGATTCAACAACTATTTCACAATTATGCTGGAATGCCTTGTACAATGAGTTTGCAGAAGTCCAAAACATTTACAGGAAGCATTCTCCCTGAAGACTGCACAGTTCTACATAGTAAGCCACCCAAGGCACCTGACACCTCTTCTGCAGCAGCATGGCGTTATGAACAAGTATTGGATCCATGTCAGTCACCACACAGGCTGCTGCACCTTCCAGTCTAATACCTGCTTGCTTTCAATCCAGTCTGGCTTTCTCTTCCCTACTTCTGACATTATCAAGCACGGACCAGGTCATGCGCTTCAGTCACAACCACCCCATGCAACGCTACAGGCTTGGGGAAGAGTGACTGCAAAGCTGCCGGGGGGTGTGGGTCAACAGCCAGCTGAACATGAGCCAGCAGTGTGCCCAGGTGGCCAAGAAGGCCAACAGCATCCTGGCTTGTATCAGGAATAGTGTGGCCAGCAGGAGCAGGGAAGCGATTGTCCCCCTGTACTTGGCACTGGTGAGGCCACACCTGGAATACTGTGTCCAGTTTTGGGCCCCTCAATACAAGAAGGACATTGAGGTGCTGGAGCGTGTTCAGAGAAGGGCAGCAAAGCTGGTGAAGGGTCTGGAGCACAGGCCTTATGAGGAGCGGCTGAGGGAACTGGGGTTGTTTAGTCTGGAGAAGAGGAGGCTGAGGGGAGGAGACCTTATCGCTCTCTACAACTACCTGAAAGGAGGTTGTAGCGAGGTGGGTGTTGGGCTCTTCTCCCAAGTAGTTAGCAATAAGACGAGAGGAAATGGGCTCAAGATGCATCAGGGGAAGTTTGGATTGCATATTAGGAAAAATTTCTTCACAGAAAGGGTGGCCAAGCATTGGAACAGGCTGCCCAGAGAGGTGGTGGAGTCACCATCCCTGGAAGTGTTCAAAAAACGGGTAGACGTGGCACTTTGGGACATGGTTTAGTAGGCATGATGGTGTTGGGTTGATGGATGGACTGATGATCTTAGAGATCCTTTCCAACCTTAATGATTCCTCATTTTTACTTCCATTAAAAAATAATCTAGCCACCAAGCCAGGAAACATGAAATTGCTACTCTACCCTTAATTGGTTTAGTTGTGGACTTGGTAGTGTTAGGTTAATGGTTGGACTGGATGGTCTTAAAGGTCTTTTCCAACATAAACGATTCTATGATTCTATGACCACAACATTTTAGATATTGCTTAACTGCCTCTGTTGGTATGACTGAAAGAATCCTGGTTTAAGAAAAAAATCCAAAGCACTCTTGATTCAAGGCCTTGCTTTCAGTGTCCTTAAAGGGACACGACTACTTGAAAAGCTATTTTATCTAATTGAAAGAGGTAGGGTATATACTCTACCATTGTATAAAATTCCAAGTATTAAAAGGGAATGATTACACACATAGCACTACAAAAGTCAAGACAAGTAAAGTTTGGACGCCCATTTTCCCAACTTAATTGTCACAGCTAAAGAGACTAACAGGCCAGATTATCAATTTTCGGCAAGATACTCCTACCAGGAA